GGGTGTGTATGTGCGTGGGCGTGTGTGTGTGTGGGTGTGTGGGTTTGTGCGTGAACGTCTTACCGTCATCATCACTGTTATCAAAACTATTAGCATGTTAATATTACTATAATGGATTATCATTGATTAGCCAATCGATTTCATTCATTCGTTTCCTCCCTTAACAATTCTCAGAGTATCAGATGTGGCGCGATCGTGCCTCCGCCTGGTGGAGGATGACAGTTTGAACGGAGCCTGTCTGCTGGTGAGGAACTCTAACAGGGAAGAGCTTCACTATCCCGGAGACAGTATTCCCAGCGAGTTCTAAACAACTGTCCAGGTTGATTAACAATTGATAAACAACCCATTTGTTTCCGGTTGTAGACAACAATCAAGTATAACCTCTTTCCTTCCGATTCTAGATAACCATCCAGCATAAGTAATTCCATCCGATTTTAGACAACCATTTTAGACGACGATTTTAGAACCGATTTTCGTCTGGTTGTAGACAACTATCCAGGATAGTGGCAACTAACAGCGTCTGACATCGAAACAAAGGCTATGTTCTTTGTAGATGTAGGATGTAACAACCGTGTGTATGTTCGGTTGAAATCTGGCTCGCTCAGCTAGGATGAAATGAAGCCTCTATTACTGGTAGATGATCTGAAGATGCTCATACATATGCTGCCCCCTAACGAGCTATCATTGTTTGTGTGAAGGCTGTTCCCACGGATAAATCCGCGAGTCTGTTATTTGTTTTACTAGTTTCATGTGTTATTTCATCTCACACTGAGCTATTTTGTCGAGCTATTGTTTTCCTTATTTGTGTTATATTATTCTCACCAGTGTGTTTTCTTTGATTAATAAATAAAATAAGATATTAATCAGTCAATTAGCAAAGAAAAACGGACAGAAGAACGACGGACAATGAAGTAACAAAAATTCAAATAATTAATCAGTTAAATGCATATTAATAAAAACAAAATTATTTGATGAATATTACTACTACTATAATTTCAATTGATTGTTGTACGAACACATAAATAACAATAAATAAGTAGACGGAAACAATTCACTGTACTATTGATTTCAATTATACTGTTAAATTGTTATGCAGGAGAATGAAATGTGGGAGGTAGTATGGGGATATGAGATAGGTTACACAGGGGGAGACAGGGGGTTGAATGAGGTTGGGAAGGAAGCAAGTTGCATGCGGGAAAATACAATCTGGGGAAAATGAAAAAAAGAACCACGCGACCGCGCGGTGCTGCCACCTATATATACCGAGCGTTCGCCGCATCGCCGGTAGCGACGAGTGAGTATCCAAACACGCTCGTCATCTGCTCGTAGGTGCGGATGTAGCGCCACTGCGCATGCGCAGCCAGCAGGCAGGCGAAGAGCAGTCCAAGGTGGTCTGTGAGTGAGAAAGCATCATAGCAGTGTAGCGTGCGCTCGAACATCCGTGAGGCTTTCACGCAACGTGGATTTCTATCCGAGGAACAGCAAACACCTGCCGTCGGCACACACACGCACACACATACACACACACACACACACATCGCCGTCGGCGTCGCATAACCGCCCGCTGTGTTTCCTTCTCGTTGTTCGTCACGGTAGAGAGTGATAACGGGAGCGAAGTGTCGTAAGCACAGTGTCGTAGTCACACACGCACGTGGACGCTCACACACACCATGGCACAGTCGTTACTGCGCCTCGGCAGCCGCCGCGCTCTGCTGACGTCACGCGCCGTACAGCTGACGCCCGTCGCCGGCTACCACGCCCGTGAGAAGGTCGGCAACCGAGACATCGTCGGCTTCGGGCACAACGGCGAGCCGACGTACGAGGACCGGCCCGACTACCCGTGCCCCGCCGTGCGCTTCCACGAGAACAGCGCAGACGTGCTGACGATGCGAGAGCGCGAGAAGGGCGGCTGGAAGGAGCTGAGCCTCGACGACAAGCGCGCCATCTACCGGGCGTCGTTCTGCCAGACCTTCTCCGAGATGCAGGCGCGCAACACGGGCGAGTGGAAGTCGGTGGCGGCCGGCACGCTGCTCGGCATCACTCTCGCGCTCTGGCTCACCATCTGGATGAAGAAGTTCGTCTACGAAGAGATGCCGACGTCGGCGACGAGCGACGTCTGGAAGGAGAAGTCGCTGAAGCGGGTCATCGACCAGCAGCAGGGCATCATCGAGGGCCTCGCCTCCAACTGGGACTACGAGAAGAAGCAATGGAAGGAGTAGAGATGCGTGACGCCATCTAGCGAGGGAGGCGGACTGCATGCAACGGGGTTGTGTTTGGTCGTCGTCGTCGTCGTCGTCGTCGTCGTCGGCGGCGGCGATGGTGGTGGCGGCGGTCGGATGTGACGACGTTTTTTTCTGTTTCGGCCGACGACGGAGTACCTCATGCCGACGACGCGTGGATTGCGACTGTTAGATCGCCCGCGCGCTGTGCTGTAGAGTGAGTAAAATTGGGAGTAATTTGAGTAAAATTAGGGAGGGGGTTGTGTGGAGTGAGAAATACCGGTGGTTGCGTTACTCAAGAGCGTCTGCTCCCTCCTCCCCCGCCTCTCGCGAAAATGGACCGATCACGTGATGCCGAAGCCACGCAGCCATGTTTGGGTCTTCATCATCACCAACGTTCGGTTCGTTTGGCTTTCATAGGAAATTACCCGCGCACCGTTGTCTTCAAGCGACGGTGCTCTAGTGAATTATAACAACGGTGTTATCGACTACTGTAACAAGGCGTTTATCGACTACTGTACAATGCAATATAGGCAAAATAAATGTTGGCGATCTTGATATTACAGACGTTTCTCTTCGTTCTCTCATGTAGCTTTCTCCGTATGACTCTCTCGTTAGTAGGTACGCGTCACTCGTTGGCTGCGAGTTTCGGGACGGAGTTTCGCGCTTACGACAACCTCTCAGCTCTGTCGTCTAAATCCAGCCAAGCTAAGCGCGGCAACCAGTCGAAAAAAACCAGTACAGACAGCGACATAAAAATTCAGGCAATTAATCATAGACCAATGCATGCTGTCGTACACATGCACTTAATTGCGGGCCGCCGAGCGAGTGGTGAGGGCGAAGTCAACGCACCTTAGACCGCGGTAGATACGCACGCACGTACGAACATGTACGCGGACGCATACATACACACACACACACACACACACGCGCGCGCGCACGTACACAGACGTACCGGCGCACGCACGCATGCACGCACACCTGGGCTATTTAGACAGTGTCGAGTCGGTGAGAGATAGATAGCCAGCTATAGCATATGCGACCTACATCGCCCGGCTGTTGAACCACTGCCACCATGAGACGAGGCGCACTATACTTGTATTCACTATACTACAGCAGCAACCTTAGTAACCACGTCTCGTGCGTGCGTGCGTGCGTGCGTGCGTGTGCCTGCGTGCGTGCGTGTGCTTGTGTGTTTCAAACGTCGTGTGGTAATTCACTAGTATAGTGAGGGTAAAGGTGGTGGCTGTACGTACTCCAGTTCTGGTGCATGCATGCGTATATGCACATATGCACGCACGTATGCACGCACGCGCACACGCGCTAATACACTACAAAAAAAGAAAACTTTCGACGAAAAGACGCGACGAGGCAAAAATAAACCGTAAAATTTACGAAAAAACCTAAACCTTAATAAAGTTGCGTTTTCAAGAATCTAATTTCGGTATAACTTCATTTCCCTTCATTGCGAGTTGCCTTCCGCTGTCGCGCACGTACGTGGGGGCGAGGCGTGTGTGTGTGGGGGGGGGGCGCACGCGCTAATGTCCCACTAATTCCGCTTTAAACTCGCTCGGTTTCGTCCGCAAGACGAGTTGTCTCTGTGTGTGTTCGCTTCTCTCTCGTTCACGACTGAGCGGGTCGTTCGTGATACTTTTAAACATAAAACTCGATTCTATAGCCGAACCCGAAAGTTTGATCGCGCGAACCTAAAGCGATTGCACACCGCTCCCAGCGCCACGCGGCGGCGCCCACGCTCACGCATTCAAGTCACAGGTTGTCTTATAACCAAGCAGTTATTTTCAATAATATAAAGTAAGGTTTTTTCAATTACTTCTTCATGTTGATTACTTCAAATCAGCGAGCATGGCCACGGACGCAATTTGCGCGCGGCGAGTGAATTGCGTGAAGTATAATTTTTTTAATTGAGCGGAAATGTTTTCGCTGTTAATTTCCGACTAATTACTACATTAACCGGCTATCACGACCGACCAATGCGCCCCTGGTGGCTGATACGAATAGCTATCTCGTGTGTTCGTACGCGAGGGACTTAAATTCGTCGGAAGAGATCCGGATCATCACCGGACAGGTAAAAACACCTGCGTCTCTCTTAAACCGACAGCTCTGTGACGTCATAAAGCAGACGATGATCGTAGATAACGTGCTTAGCTCGCAGGGAGGGGGTGGGGTCAGTGCAAGCGGTGCGCATGCGGCGGATGAGATCAGATGAAATGCTGGATGGAGCGATTTCAGCATGCTGGGATGCCAGCGATTGCTGAGATGCAGCGATGCTGGGATGCCAGATGCGAGCACGGCGATGCAGGATGCGTCGATGCAGGGATGATCGACTGAAGGATTCAGCGAATAGATGCTTGGCTTGCAGCTGATCGGCGATGGCGTATGCCTGCGGATGCAGCCGATGCTGGAAATGCAGGCGATGCTAGCGGATGCTGGATGTCAGGAGATGGCTAGCGAGTCAAGGATGCAGCGATGCAGGATGCAGCCGTCTGGGATGCAGCGATGCTGGGATGCCATGCGGCATGGGCGATTTGGTATGCCAGCGATGCTGGATGCAGCGATGCTGGATGCAGTGATGCTGGGATTACAGCGATGCAGCGATGCAGATGCGTCGCTGCAGCGGATCGCGTACGACTGTCGAAATCACGTGGCTCATGAGGGAAGACAGAGCGAGGAGAGAAAGAACGAGATTAGAGAGAGAGAAGCGCGAGATGAGAGAGAGAGAGGTTTGTGAATTGTGAACATTGTGCTGTACGATGTAGGGCG